GGTGATCTTTCTGTGTCTGACTGTGTCTGGCTCTTGCTACAGTGTACTACTGTATTCAGAGCTTTGTGTCATCCTTAATTGGAAATAATAAACATAAGCAAGGAAATGGTAGGACTCTGCAAACTGTTTGCTACTGTAATTCAGGGACTACGCTTTGAAATGAAAGCAGAAAGTACATTCCTATTAGATAGGTTTTTCTAGATGAGCCGGTTATAAAGCATCTGTCTTTTTCTTTTTGTTGGTCATCGAAAGGAAAGGAAGGGTTAGCAGTACACTTAAAGAATAGTATCAAATATACGAATTCTCTTCAGACAGAACTCCTTTCTCTTGGAAACAGGGCACATGAGAGGTACAGGTGATAGATAGCTGTACATCAGAAGGTAGAGACGTGGTACAAGGAATTCCAGGCCAGCTAAACAGTGCAGTGACAGGGTACCGTAAGAACATGTTACAAGCACTGAAGATGCTACAGGAGCTAAACAAACAAGTCTTCTTGGTGAAATAATTTGGCAGATATTTACAGTTCAGAAGAACAAAACGTCAAAATGTAAGGCATGAAATATTTCTTGGCAGACCACGCTTTGACACATTCCTTCTGTCCAGTTAGGTACACGGTGGCTGGACATGTTCTGGCACTTTTGTTTTTCTTGTGACTTATTAATTTTTCAGAATGATACTCATTTGCAACGCAATTTGGTCACCAGGTATGCTATGCTCAGAAAGAGCCACACAATCAGTAAATTGGGGCTCAGAGCCAATAAAGGAATGGAACAGAGGAGGCTGGGGTCTAGCCTTAAGTCTCGGATGGGCACCAGGCCGCTCAAGTTCTTCTGGGTGACTACCTCCCGTGTTCCAATGCTGTGAAAAGGAAAAAGTTTGGGAGAAAGAAAAACGAAAAAGGAAAGAAAGTAAAGAAAGAAAGAAGACACATGCGATGGGTTTTATCAAAAAGGATGGGATAAAGAAGAGAACCAAAAGATAAGGTTAAACAAAAATGAAATGAAGTCACAAGAGAAAGAAAAGATGGAATGCAGAAACGGGGATGAGAGGAAGACCAAAACAAAACCAGCACAGTCACAGGAAAAAAAAAGGAGAGAAAGAGAAGTGAAAATAAGAAAAAAATACTGCAATCTACTGAAAATAAACACATGTAGGTTGAACGAATGGTTTTCCATGTTCACTCTCTCGGCTGGCCAAGCCCAACGCCATGCCGCCCGGCCATGCTCCCACATGCTGCACAGACAGGGACTTCTGAGAAGCAAGCTGAACATGAAGAACCATTGGGGGTTTGACCTTCTCACAGATGCCTGAGCAGGGGGTGGTACAAAGGATTTGGCCAAAGCTGCCTCTTGATCAACCACGCAAACGAAAACCATTTACCTCAGGTACCAACCCACCAAGCGCAGAGCCCCCGCCAGCCCCGCCTCGGGTTCCAGGCTCAGCCGTGCAGGCACGAGCGAACTGCTGTTTCCATCTTTGCAAGTTAGGGTTCTACAAGCATCCCCAAGGGTGGAATCCAGCCAATACCACACTGGAAATTTGGGGCTTCTCTCCCCTTTGGGTGCTACAGAAGAACTGCACTGAGGTGAGATGGTACCTAGCACCACATGACTCTGGGAGCACATTTATGTCTGCCAAGTGGCAGCAGTGACAGAATCAGAGGCCTGAGGACACAGCAGGCAGCTTGTGAAGGCTCCACTGGGAGATGGGGCGGCAGGAGGCCCAGGGTTCCTCTTCACACAGGGCCCTCCCCAGCTCTCCCAGAGGAGCCCGAAGGCCCCATGGCCCTGCTGGAATGTGCTGTTGAGCGAGGGCGCGATTCCCAAGCTGCGGAGCACTGGCCCGCTGCCACACTCCCTGCCAGGACAGGCTGGTGGGGGGCCCTGTGGCTACTCAGGAAGGCCTACTTCGAGGGCGTCAGCCCCAGGACTGGGGGCAGGGGTGCCCCAGTGGCCAAATGTGTGACTCTCTTCCCAACTCCATGTTCAGTGGTGCCACATGGGAGCCTGAAACGGGCCCTGGCAGAAGCATTTATGCCACAGAAATGGCCAACATGACAGATCAGGGCTCTTGGGGAGAGGGCTGGTGGCTGAACATTGACAGCACAGCCCTGGCCACCAGTCACCCTGGGCCTCCAGGAGAAAAGCCTGGGTGCCACCTTGGCCCCCACCGCCTCCACCCCACCTGCATGCTCTACTCTTTCGTCTGATAAGATGCAAGCCAGAAAGCCATGAACCGAAACATCCCCATCCACCCACGGGCAGGGTGGAAGTTTATGCTGCCTTCTGGGGCTCTCCGCTAAACTGCAGGTCCTCGGCACCCCAGCGGCCAGAGCTGCTAGCTTGTGACCCAGCCACCTCGGCTTGCAGCCGTCTGAACAGGTACATGTCTTCCCCTCATGGGATCGTACCGAAGACAGAAGTCACCTTAAAACCAATGCTTGTGACAACAGCCTCAGACCTGCAAGGGTCGGCTCAAGGTGGCAGCGAGCCGTGTCCCCAGGGCTGGTGTGAGAATTCCGGGGCAGGCACAGGTAAGGTAAGATGCAGCTTTGTTTTGTTTTTATAACTTCTTAAAAAACTATTAAGAGTAATACATGTTCACTGTAGAGATTTCAGAAAACCAATAAATAAGCAAGTTAAGAAGACATCCACGATTGGAGGTGGGGTGGCGTTGAGAGAGGAAGAGGGCGGGGTAGAGGGAATGCTGCCTGTTCCCCAGGAGGAAAAGCCTTCCTTCCCTTTGCCAGGCCCCAGGGCCCTTACTGCTAATGCGGAGAAACAACAGCCCTTACAGCTTCAGAAGCCTCACGAGAGTGACAGGACAGATAGCACCCGGCACGGGTAGTGTCCTGTGCACTCTGGGACACCGGGCACGAGAGCAGCTACTGTGGGGACCATTTGATGATCTGTACTAAAATTATGCAAAAGCCTTACAAACATGTATATTTTTTAACCTAAGGCAATGTGGCTAGGAGAATGTGTAAGGATATTCACTGTGCCTTTGATTAAAATGCTGGAAAACCACATACAGCTTTTAAATATTAAATGACAGCAAATTGGATAAATTACAGTATGTGGAAAGTGGCCGGGTGTGGTGGCTCACAACTGTAATCCCAGCACTATGGGAGGCCAAGGTGGATGGTCACTTGAGGTCAGGAATTTGAGAACAGCCTGGCCAACATGGCGAAACCCCATCTCTACTAAAAATACAAAAAATTAGCCAGGTGTGGTGGTGGGTACCTGTAATCCCAGCTACTCAGGAGGCTGAGGCAGGAGAATTGCTTAACCTCTGGAGGCGGAGGATGCAGTGAGCCAAGATTGCACCGCTGCACTCCGGCCTGGGTGACAGAGCAAGATTCCATCTCAAAAAAAAAAAAAGAGAGAGAGATAAGGTCTACATTTATTAACCTAAAAAATGCTCACAAGACTCTTAATTGCCAATATAATTACACTTGTTTGTGCGTGTGGGTGTTTCTGCTCTGTGTAACGCAGGGACTGGTTAGCCCCTGTGTACGTCCTCACACCCAGATGCAGGTACACGTCTCTTATCTCAGTATCTATCCAAATGTCAGTAGCGCTACCTGTTCACAGTACGAAACTGGGGGATTCTTTGTGGGGAGGGTTCTGAAGAACTAGTGTGGGTGTTTATCTGTATTTTCTAATTTTCCTACAAGGATTTTCAATTCCTTATGTGATTAAAAGTTATAAATAGTGCTTTGTGCACTGTGCATCCTAACAGTTGTAACTGTAGCAGCTGTCCTGAGCACACAACCCAAGTGGGCTGGGGCAGGCGGACAGGGCCCTCGCGGGTCTGGGCTCAGTGGCAGGCCAGCCATCGCACTGTGACTCTCCCTGGGGCCACTTTGTCACTGGTCTCCTGAGGTCTCTGTGTTCAGAGGTGGTCAGAATGAATAGTTTTTGTTGAACTTGTTTGAGAGCCCAAGAACTGAGTAGAGGTCTCCGCGTGGACTGTGTGCCTAACTTGGGGGGCCGGCTCCTGACTCGCCCTGATCCTGCTCCTTGCTGCCACCACCGCAGGGATCCCTGTCCACTTCATTCTCCTTTCTTTACTGGCGGAGGTCTGCAGCTCACCAGAACGTCCCCTCCCACCCCCGTGCAGCTAATGGGCACAGGCGCAGCCGCCGTCCCTCAGCACCAGGGTCACACTGGACATCAGGCCTGAAGGGCACCAAGGCTCCTGGGGAGCAGACCAGGGAATTAAAATTTTAAAAAGGCGC